CCCCAAAACCCCAAAACCCCAAAACCCCAAAACCCCGTGAAGGGTGATTCGTAGTAAAAGAGAAAATAGAAGTGAAAAATTATTAAGAAGTAAAATTAACAGCATAAAATTTACTCATTCATTATTTAATCATTATTATATAGTAGTTGTTATTAATGTTCTAATAGATGCATGCGTACATATATTCATTAAATTTTCATAAATTGGATTTTTATTTAAGTTCCATCTTAACTAATATTACAGGTGTGTGTCAGATCGACAACTTTCGTGAAAGACCCCTCTTCGTTATAGTTTGAAGCTACTCTTTCCTCTGAAGTGTTAAAGGAAAAATTGCTCATTATTTCTTCATTATTATTCGATTGATATCTGCTATATTGATTGTGATTTAGAATCTGGCTATCATTCTATTAAAAGCTAAACTCCTAGATATTTTCACTAGACTGATATTTCCTGTTATGCTCATTAGTAGAGCTCACCGCCTAGTTTTTATTGACTTACCTACCATTGTGTTAAGGGTAGTTACTGAACAGACTCGCCTTGCTTAAACCGTGGTGATTGTGATGATCATTTGAGTCTATTAGTAGCTTTTAAAGCGCTCTTTCATGTCTATCTAAGAAAGTCTTGTCGTCTGTAAGTTCTTCCGAGTCACTTTCAAAGATTTATAATTTGCTGTCTGCGAATATTCCAAGTTAATTTTGATCAAGTATTTATTGATCAATTAGCCCTTAAATTTATCTAGATTGGGGGACCAATATATTTGATTGGTTCCTCCAAGAAGTAGTGTCCATATTTATATTTCTTCTTATGGACGAGGGGTTAAAACCTATTGACACCATATTATTGATGTCATAGATGTCTGATTTAAGTGAGGGCACTATCATCTTTACCTATTGCACATTGTTTGCTCCTTGGCTTGATATTTTATTTGAGCTGTAGCCACTAAGACTGTCATCTGCCTCTGTATCAGGGTTAATATCATAGACTGTAGTTTTGGTATATCCTGTTCCATGTGAACTCGTCACACTCTTTCCAAGGAAATTTAAAGTATTTTGTATCAAACCCTTTGGCTTGGGCTTTCTGCCTCGCTTTTTGGGTTGATGATGAGAGCTCCTGCTCAATTGGTGAGTCCCGCTACTGTTTGGAGTGGATTTATTAGTGGATTTCTTTTGAATTGGTTTAAATTTATTTTGGATTCTAGCCCTTTTTTGAATAAGCCCTATCTGACTTTAATAATTATAATTATTCAAAAGTTTCTTCTGATTAGAAGTACCTTTGAGTTTCTCAGTATTCTAGTCCTTCTCAATTGAGTTAATACTATTCAGATTTTGTTGAGAATAATTTAGAGAGGATTCTACGTCTGTTGTTGCATAAGTAGGAAAGCAGTTAATCAGAGACTTATTGTGCCTACACTTGTAGTGAAGAGCAGATGGATCCCTGATGACCTTCTTAGGTCTTCCTCTCTTTTTCTTATTAGTTTGGTTCTGACAGCAGGCATTCACTTGCTGATTTGGCTCCACAAGCGACATCTGCTTTTCTACAATCATCATTAGCTTTTGCGCTAAATTGCTCATTCTAAGCCCTGGCTCGCTTGGTGACGCTTTGATCTCAGTCTGGCACTTTTGCGCAGGCTGAAGCTGTTCGTGATGTTTGTTTTGCATAATTTTTGGGTGGTTCGACTTCAAATAAAGGGGCGAGAAAGTTTGATTCGTGGAAGGTTCTATGTAATTCGTTGACTCCTCAATATTTATGGCGAAGTCATCCTTCATCTCTTCATGTTCCATATCAATTGGTGATAGCATTGAGAGTCGTCTATAAAAATAAATTATAAGTATCTGGCCTTAAAATCGTTTATAATGGGTGCATTTGTAGGTTGTAAAGATGTTATAGAATATTTAAGCCCATGCATAAAGAGTGTTAAACTTATTGTTAATGTAGTTGGTCTTACCTTGTGCAAGTTTGATCACTGTTCCAGTTAGTGGTCTCCTGTTAGTAATAGCTCATTAAATGATCCATAACCTATAATACATTTTAGATTTAACTATAAATTAAAGTATTGACTTACTTTCGCTGAAATGATGGTTGGGCGTTAAAACTTTAATCTTATTAATATAGGATTTTAAGCATTTCATATATAAAAGCGACTTGAAATAATATAAATACTATATCAAATCTATCTAAATTTTGCGATATATGCCTAATGGGGTTTTGGGGTTTTGGGGTTTTGGGGTTTTGGGG